TGGTGGCAGAGCAGAGTGGCCCCCCGGTGCGGTGAGCATCAAGGCGACGGGGAGATGCTGTCCCAGCACCACAAGAAGCAGAGAAAGGCAGAGGTGACCAGGAGGAGGAAAAGTGGGTACCTGGAGCTGGGAGCAGGGCGGGACCATGGTGTCGTGCTGCATGTGGAATCCTGCTGACAGCCCAGGGAGGAGGCAGATCCCTGTCCCCAGCCTGCACAGCTGCAGCCAGACCCCAGACACTTTGCCAGCGGGACCCAACTCTGACAGCTGGGACCGGGACCTGCAGTGCGGCGCTGCTCATGAGCCCTCCTGCCTGGGAAGCGCTGGCAGCGTGAGCACGGGGCTGGGGGAAGCAGTGAGCTTCATGCTGAGCTGGCATGTTGCGGCAGGCTCCCCCTGGGGACCGGCACTGCCTTGCTCCCGGCTGGACCAGCGCACCAAACTTCCTGCCCAGCCTGTTCTGGGACATCAAAAAAGCCACCGGAGGCGTTGGCTGGTGCTGTGGCAGAAGACACGGCCCCCAGCGGCGGGCGCCGGCAGACACGGCCCCCAGGGCCGCAGGCCACGGCGGGCAGATACCATCAGTACCATGGGGCACTGAGCTGGAAGGGCCAGCACTGCCGGGAGCGAGGAGCTGGTACGTGAGAAACAGCCGTGCTGGCGCCCTGAGACCGCCATCAGCTGCTCCACCCTGGCACAGGTGCCCCCGCGGGGCGAGCCGGACCCCAGGCCCAGGCACCGCACCGGCCCTGACATGTGGTGCTGCAGCCCGGACACAGCCTTGCAGAGCAGCTCTGGTGAGAAGGCTCGCCGGCACCGTGGGAGCGCTGCTGGGGGCTCGCTGCAAAGCGCAGGCAGGGCCGTTGCCCACGGCTGGCAGCAGGCCAGGGCACAGCCTGATGGATGAACAGACACAAAGGGCTCCGGCACTGCCCGCAGCAGAGGTAGCTGCTCGCCTGCCCTGGATTTCCCTTTGTGCCTGTTGCTTGAGCTCTTTGTGCTGCTGAGAACAATCCCCGTTTTTGGAGGAGAGGGGTGGCTCATGGAAGGGGCTGTAACCAAGCGGGACATGGGCCCTGTCCCCTGGAGCTGCAACCAGCATGCAGGCAGAGCAAGGGTCGGCACCCACCACCCCTCGTGGCACCGGTTCCGCAGCACTGCCGGAGCAGCCCCCTCCGCCGTCCCCGCAGCCAGGCAAAGGCGGCACAGAGCAGAGGGTGAAACCAGAGTCCTTTATTTGTGTCTTCACAGGAGCGGAGGGAGGAAGAGGCCAGGGCAGGCAGAGCAGCTGCTGAACTTGAGGCAGAGGAGAGGGCAGAGGAAAAGGAGAGCAGGCCCTGAGTGTCCTGGGGTGAGCCCAGCTGCGCAGCCCGTGGGGCTTGCCTCACTGGTTGGGGGAGGAAGGCGTCCTGTGCAGCCGTGGGAGGACAGCTCTGCTTGCTGGGACGGCACATCTATAGTGCCACGTGGGTTATTGCTCGGAGAATCAGTGCCACATTTGGGTTATTGCTCAGAGAAACGGATCCACGTTTGGGTTATTGCTCAGAGAAATGGATCCACGTTTGGGTTATTGCTCAGAGAAACATCCATGTAGCAGCAGGGAGGCCCCTGGCAAGATGGGAAAATGGGGCAGGGGCTTGCCAGGGGAGGCAGCTCCCTGCCTGCTAGTGGAAGGCACAAACTGGGACTGGAGAGGAGAGAGGGGCGGCGCTCAGTGCAGCATGGCCCTCAGCCAGGAGCACCTCTGTGCACTCCCCCCAGAGCTGCCCTTGGTTTGCATAAGGAGTTAAAATCCAATCCTGGGAGAGCAGAGTGGCTGCAGGCAAGGCAGCTTCCCAGGGCCCCACCTCTGCAGGCTGCAGAGACGCCTGCCATCTCTCCTGCTGGGCGTGAAAGAGGACCAGGAGAGTGTCCTGCCTAAGGCACTGCGTGGCACAGCTGGGCTGGTGAGGAGCGGGGGCCTCTGCTGCTCTGCTCGCTAAGAGAGGAAACGCCTGACACCACGAAGATCTGCAACAGCCGGAGGAGCAGTTCTGCTGGAGAGCCACAGGGCTGTCACAGGACAATCTTGAAGGAGCTGCAAGAGACACAATGGGTTCTGCACCTCCTCACTGGGTCACCCACAAATGGTTTCCAAGCAGGCAGTGCTACGGGGAGGCAGCGTTACCCTGTGCGGCAGAGGGTCTCTGCAGAGCTAGTGTGGGATGCAGTTCCCTCTGCTGTTATGGGAAGCCTCGTACAGGGTAGCCTTGCATTATTGCGACCGAGAGCTCTGCCGCAACGCCAGCACAGCAATCAGGATGGGCCAACCTCCCCAGACAGGCCCCCCGGGACAAGCTGTGCCACTGGAGACCACTGTACCTGGCAAAGTCTGGGGAGCGGGAGACAACGTGCTGGAACTCAGAGAGGTTGATAGTTCCGTCCTTGTCAATGTCAGACTCCTCCAGGATCTGGAGGGGATGGAAAGGCAAGCGGTGAGCTCTGCGTGGCCAGGACCATGCAGCAGCCCGTGCCCCACCTGACAGTCCTCACATTTTGGATGAGCTGCTCCATCTCCATGTTGCTCAGCCGGGACTCCTCACCTTGCCCCGTCAGACAGTTCACCAGTTTCTCCAGGTCCTTTCTGTCTAGAGTCCCATCGTCATCAAAGTCTTTGGGGAGAGGAAAGTTACGTTTCTGCAGGGCCGCGGCAACCCCAGAGAGTCATGGGCACCTGCACTCAGCAAGGAAGGGCCTTGGCAGCCCAAGGAGACACGGCAGGCTCCATGCTGCACCTCTCAGTGCAGCAGTTCCCAGGGGGAGTTCCTAAAGCTGCCACCCCAGTGGGTGCTCTGAGGGCACTGCCCCCCCCCCCAGGCACGGGGACCCCAGGACACAGCATCTGCCCCCAGCCTTACCAAAGATGCGGAAGGCGTAGTGGGATTTGATGTCCGAGGTAGCAGAGTCACTGAAGACACTCAGCATATCAAGGAAGTCTTCAAAGGACATGCTGTCGTCCCCATCATCTGAGGTGGAGAACACCCGGCAGATCCGGTGCTGGAAAGGGTTTGCCTGCCAACGCAGGAATGGCTCAGGGCAGGGCTGGGCAGTGCCAGGCCGGCTCCCTTGCAGCAGACACCGAATGCAGGCTGGTGCCAACCCCATGCACAATCAGGTATCCCGCTCTGCTGCCGGTCTGCCGCACATGGCATGACTGTGCCTGTCCTGTGCCTCCCTGGGACAGCAGCTTTGTGCAGCAGCGATCTGTGGGATCCTCCAAGGCACAGCAGGGACAAGGAAGCTGTTTGTGGGCACAGCTGACGTGCGGTAAGTGAACAGCTTACCCAGGTGACTGCTGGAGCAGCATGTTGAGGGCAAAGCACCGGCACCGTGAGGGCTGCGGTGGGTAAACAGGGCCCTGCCCAAACATGCCCGGACCCAGGGAGCAGCAGCGCGTCCCGCTGTCTGCCAGGCACCGTACCCGCAGCTCAGGCAACGTCAGGATCTGGCGCTTGGGAACCCGCGCAGAGCAGGCATTCTCCCTCTCCTCCTTTGGCAGCAGTTCACTGAACCTCTTGTAGGCACTTGAAGAGGCAAGAACAAGAGGCGCTCTGTGGCGTGAGCGGCGCAGGAGGCAGCCCCCGGGCACGGGCAGCGCAGGCAGCTTTTCCCAGCGCTGCACAGAGGCAGGCAGCCCGTTTCCCACAGCTCCCT